CTGTAGTTGAAGAAGCCTTTTTGTATCGTTTTGATATTTCATGTCTCATATAACGTTTGGTTACTGAGAATAAACTGCCACAACTTAAGAGTAAATCGTCAAGTTTTATAACATTTTGAATAATCTTCGTTGGAAAATTATTAAATTTTAAGATGTTAATTATGTGCTTTTGTTCTTTCTGTTTATTCTCTCCGGATGCAATAGCTTTATTTGCTCTTTTAAAGAATTTTGGGTCCAGATAGATTTTCGCAATGAACAGATGTGCTGAATTAAAACCAATAAAACGGCTCAAATGTGTTGGTTTTCGGTTGATAGTTAGATTACGAGATCCACTTAAATTTCTTTGACCAAAGTAATCTAAAAGTGATAGCTCACCATAATCAAATTCATCCTTGTGGGTAAATTTAATTTAGAATGCGAGTGTCTTGACCAGTTTAGGAAAAGTTCGTAACACAGTTTCTCATGACGACAAAAGCACATCCACATATCTGAGCCAAATCCATGGTTTGTAAAACGTCCCGTTAAGGGTAGATAAAGTTAGATCTAAGCATAGATTTAGGGATTTCACTAATAAACTGATGCTTAAAGGACATCTGCCAGATAAGGTATGGTCATTCTCTAGAAAACCATTAGGAAAATCAAGGCATTTATCAATGGGTATACTAGTATAAAAATATACAACATCATAGCTTAACACGATCCTATTCCTTTGGAAAATTAATTCCGATATTTTGACTTTAAGTCAAAGGCATCCCTAGTTTATTAGTTAATGTCAGTAAATATACGCTCAAGAACATTCCTTAATATATGTATTTGAGATAATATACCATTCAATCTGGAAAAGTAGGTAGAGAGCACATATTTAATAGTAAAACCCATCAATCATGAAAAATACATGTAATTATGTTATAATAGTTGACCTGAGACTTTATGCTATATGTTTATGGAATCGAAAGTAGGCTCTTCTTTCTGTTCCACCAGTACACCTACTTTGGCAGGTGCATGCAAATCTCTGTATTCAGTTGGTCAAATCATGAACGGGGGACCTATGGATTTTTGACTAGAGTAAAGAACATATTATACAAGATCACTGAATAGAAATCGTGGTTGAACACTGTTGAGAAATCCCATAATAGGATGAGATAACCAGCCAATACAACCTGATTTTCAGTGATGGTCTATCTAAGATTAGTTTGGAATTCTAATTATGATAATGTAATTATGTTGAATATATGATGAATTTAATTGCCTACGCTAATGAAGCGCTGTAAATATAAAGTTTGGCAATATTTGAAATAACGCTTTTGTAATTAGATTATGAAAACAAATATAGTAAATTTGTGATGAAAGTCGCTTAAGACATAGAAACATTGTATTGAACACAATACGTCAGTCATTTAATTCACAGGAATGCAAATTAATAAGGCGTGAACTCATTAGTTGAATAATGATTTGGAAAATTGTAAAACAAAAGTTATGCAGACTTAAAGTTACCACATAAGTTCACTCCTCATTAATTTGCATTCCTGTGAATTAAATGACTGACGTATTGTGTTCAATACAATGTTTCTATGTCTTAAGCGACTTTCATCATAAATTTACTATATTTGTTTTCTTAATCTAATTACAAAAGCGTTATTTCAAATATTGCCAAACTTTATATTTACAGCGCTTCATTAGCGTAGGCAATTAAATTCATCATATATTCAACATAATTACATTATCATAATTAAAATTCCAAACTAATTTTAGATAGACCATCACTGAAAATCAGGTTGTATTGGCTGGTTATCTCATCCTACTATGGGATACATCAAAAGTGTTCAACCACGATTTCTTCACGATTAGATTGAGATGTAAACACACTTGTCGTTATTCACCGTGAAATTTGACGTTCTTATAGTTTGTTTTAGTTTTGAATACATTCAATATCTTTGTAACGAACTTGCATAAGCCGATTAATTTCTCTGTGCTCATTTCTTGTTGTTTCGGGACGGTTCCAGGTATATGGTAATGTACAATAAGCAGTAGTCTAATCACTACTGTACTAATTTTAGTCAGTTTGATAGTTATTTGTGGTTTTGCATATCTTGCAGTCTAAGTGAGTTCGTTCTTCTCAGGACAGTTTGGGTCCTGGATACCAGCACCTATCATTAACAGTCTGAAGATTGATTGTTTGTATTGTGAAAGTTATAAAGCGATAATTTGAGTGCTAAGAGAAGACAGTTAATTGATTGGCAATGTGTAAGAATTGGAAGAATAATATGTGGAACGGAGATGGTAATAAGCGAGATAAGTAGTTACTGATATGAGGTAATGGTAACCGTGATAATTTGTGAGAGATGCCAAAGTAGGTAGATTAGTAGAACAGGAAGAAAGGGAAACTTTTGATTCCATCAACATATCTCATAAAGCTGTAGTGGCTTAGCTTCGTTAATCAATCACCTTGATAACCGTTATTATGTAAATTCTAACGGTGTTTGAAATCATAAGACAATAAGAACCAGCGACTATAGTTTATTAGCGAACAGCACGGATAAAAAGCTACAAACGAATGGAGAGAACTTGAAGCAGAGAGGCGAATATGTGTATGCGAGCGAATACAGAGGCAAATTTATAGTCAAATCCAATCAAGGCACAGCTAGGCTAGGTAAGGGCTAGTAATAAGATTCGAGTACATATATACATGTGAAAGAGAATGACTCATCGAGAGATATTTAAGATATTAACATTTTAGAGAGAGATATGTGCGTAGACTGTCACATATAATCATAATAGTAAAAAGAAATATGAGAATCGTTACTGTTTGGATAACATTGTCTGTTAAATAAGTTAATACAATGTCCTAGCAAAATTTAATCATAGTCGAAATCGAATGTAGGAGACTTGCTATAATGTCTTGGGTTAGTGGGATTAAATGCTTTGAGAAGTGCTGTTGAGGAAGATCTCTGTGACACAGTGTATCAAGGTGATAAACTGATATCTTTCACCATCATCTATCAACAGTTAAATTTCATTCCTCACAAATTTGTCCAAACTATAGCCATTAAACTACTAGAGCCCGACTTATGTATCCAAAAGGAAACTTCCAAATTTTTCCTTACCATTTTTCATTGTAATGATTGCTAACTGAACATTTGCAATCTATAACATCACAAACATTTATACAAAGTAGAATTAAACGATGACAACAGCAACAACAGAAGTATTATGAAAATGAATAGCAAGCAAATTGCAATACCTTAACAATGTGACAGGAACATTTTTTGCCTAAGATAAATTATGAAATTACTACTTCATATCTGTGTGGAATGATGTGCATCTGATTGAATTGATTATTATTTTTTTTCAAGACTTATCGACCAATCTATACATGGTACAGTTATAAAGTAAACAACATATTTTTCTAACATTCTTCATAGAAAACTTTATTATTTGACCTTAGTAGTCATCAAAAATAGAATACTATAATAATTAGTAAAGTGGTCAGTAATAATCTTGTTAATTAATCTTCATTATACACAGTATATAAAAGGATAGTCTATGTCTAAAAGATTGTTATATCTACGATAGACAGTCACACAATTCTCTCTGTTTCACTTGTCATCTTCTACAAGCAAGGAGTGCAGAATGAAACAGATTCACACTGGTGAGATTATTTCATGAAACTATATTGTTCCGTTCTCTTTATGCGTTAATAAACTTTCAATGGTCTATTTTGATGGTTCAGATTATACATAGTTTGTCTACATCTACTATTTCTAGTTTTTTTTAAAAAGTTAGGAAATATTTGTTATTCATTAGTAATTATGTTACCATTTGTATCGGTAATCTCATAAAAACCAAATTTTATAAGAGATCAGTAACATGTTTCGACTAATGGATGTAACGGACAACTAATGACAGTTTCCCTCATTTCACTTCAGTTACTATCAACATCAGATTGTTTGCTTGACTAAACCCAATATGGTCGTGTACTACGGTAACTACCATTTAGTAATTGACTACCACAACAAACAACAAATTTCTTTTTTGTCGAACAGTGATTTCTTACCACTTGTAACAGTTTGAATCAATTCCGTTTATTGAGTGTTTGGGTGTGAAAATGCTACTTACATAAAATTAAGTGCATTGCAAAGTCAAAATGAAGAAACAAGGTGTGTTATTTTGTAGGTCAACATAGGGTTAACAAGAAAAGCCCAAGATTTATCCATGCATCTCATAATTGAATATCGTTTTTCCGATGTATGGTTAAGTACCAGCTGATAATCATAACCTTGAAAACTCAGACTTGACTTCACGTTCTTGAGCCAGTGGACTGAATATCACTCAATTAAATTTTCATCTCAAATCAACACACTCGTGCAATGGACTTGGAAACTACACAGTCTCTCATCTAAGCTTGTGGTGAAATGAGTCATATAGATGGATATCAAAATGACTATTGCCTTATAAATTATTTCCTCAGTTATCTACTCTCTGGTAGAAATTAATAGAATACAGTATACTTTAAAAGTGAAATTTAAGGATAGGTGTTTTGCAATTCAATCATCATAAACCCATATTGAAAATGTGTATTTAGTCATCCACCCATCTTTCCACATCAGTTTGATACCAGTTTTGAAAATTAACACACTCAAGACGATTGAAAAAGTTGACAGATAAGATGATATATCATTGTCGAATTATCAACTATCAAAATAGAAAGTAAAAGTGGATACATGCTGTCATTATTGGTGTGTTTGACTTCTCTCTATGAGTGTTAAATGACTATTTTATTAGTGAATTACCTGCTCTTTGTACAGCTAGATCATAAGAAGTATTACTTACTGTGTTACCAGCTAATATATTCATGTTTTAAGAGCAATAAACACTTTCATTGTTGATTTTAACTAAATAAGTATGAAAGTAAAACGTTTGAGTGAATATCCAGGATTTATCCACTTTCCTCTTATTATCACGTAGTAAACAGGTCACTTTAGTCTTTTTTTTTACATAAAATGACTGGAACATGTTTAAGAGGTAGAATTTATCAAGTGTATATTGAACAAATGAACTGGGAACTTGAGGTTGATAAGAATTCCAAATGCAGTTTATTCTCACAATAATTTCATTTACTTTTAATAAAGCCAGTACGTATAAGAAATCCATAATAGGTTGAGGTTCATGAATACGATTAAATAAGTTAAATTCAAGTGTTCTGATTCTGTTTATCCCGAATTTCCCTGTAATTCGTTGTAATATGATGTCTTAAAAATAGTTGTTGTTTTAGTGGTCATAGGTACTCGGATTTTAGAAAGTATTTATATTTAATTTCTAAATCATTTTGAGTTCATAAGCAAAGATGGATAGTGGCTAGCAGTGGAATCCAGTAAGCGCGTTTCGCCCTATTTGGGACTCGTCAGCTGGATGTATCTGCATCTCAGAGTTGACACGAAACTGATCAATTGCAATCTTAAACCTTAATGGGAAGATACAAGCAAGACAATACCAAGTGCATTTTGAGTTCAGTTTATAATCATCAGTGAAAATATATGCACAACAACAGAAATGTAACTTTGTATTTGCAAATATAACCATAAATGTAAACCAAAGTTTCTTCTTCGTCAACGGAATTTACATTGATTTTTAAAATTATGAGCATATCCATATCTGGTATAATTAAAATATGTGCATCATATATTATATAAACTCGGAGTTTAACTCAGTTTGAAAAGATTCTTGAATATTTTATCAGTGATAAAAGTATACCCAAATGAAGTTAGTAATCACTGCCATTTACTCAATTTTGAACGTTCATTTTAATACTGTTTATCAGTTTCATACATAAATTAAATCCAATAGTTAAACAATTGTTTCAACCAGTTTCTGAATTATGTTGACATTTTGCAAAGCTCTGTGAAGTTATTTACGTGTCTTTCTTATAGATAATTCAATACTTCCTCCTGAATACCCAAAGGTCTTCACAGATCAACCAACGCCAAAAGTAACATTCAGTGATATACCAGTAACTTTACGTTGTCCGTCATGTGGACTAAATACTTTAACTACTTTGGAGTACAAAAATGGTTTATTAACTTACTTAGCTTCTGGTGGTATATGCCTAATTGGGTAAGTTAATATTTTATCTGACTGTAATCGATCTATGATTATTGACAAAGTTTAAGTAGAGGATTTCATGTCCACGTTTAAAGGATTAAAGTAAATTGTTTCAACTTGATTAGTTAAGCACAATTTTTACTCTGTAGAATTACTGAGTAAATGTCAATCTTGTGTAGACAATATTTTGCCCCAAAGCACGCATTATTCATTAAGTTAGATAAAATATTCATGTTTGATCAGAGCTGTCATTTATTTGTTTCACGATTAGTATGCAGAAAGGTAAGTTAATAAAATAAACAGGATATCTGACTTAAACTAATGTTTGGCACGATGACAAATTAACTCACTTCTATTATGGTGTTATTTAGTAAACATTGATGATAAATTTACTGTAATTATAGAATATTATGCATGAGAAACATGTGGATTTCAATATTGAGGTTATTTCCTAGTTTAGATTCAGTTGTGTTTTCATGTTAATATTCATTGACTTGATGTTAGCTGGTAATGACTATCGTTTTCTAAGTGGATTGTTATTATGGTAATCTCACTAGACAAACATAAAAGAGTAATACTTACTTACTTACTTAAGCCTGTTACTCCCAATGGAGCATAGGCCGCCGACCAACATTCTCCAACCCACTCTGTCCTGGGCCTTCTTTTCTAATTCCATCCAATTCTTGTTCATCCTCCTCATGTCTATTTCCATTTCCCGGCGTAATGTGTTCTTTGGTCTTCCTCTTTTCCTTTGGCTTGGAGGATTCCATGTGAGGGCTTGTCTTGTGACGCAGTTGAGTGCTTTCCTCGATGTGTGTCCTATCCACTTCCAGCGCTTCTTCCTAATTTCTTCCTCCGCTGGGATCTGGTTTGTTCTCTCCCACAGTACGTTGTTGCTAATAGTGTCCGGCCAACGGATCTGAAGTATTTTGCGTAGACAACTGTTAATAAACACCTGTATCTTCTGGATGATGGATTTCGTTGTTCTCCAGGTTTCTGCCCCATACAGTAGAACTGTCTTGACATTTGTATTGAAAATCTTGACCTTGGTGTTGGTTGACAGAGTAATTGGATGTCCATAATTAACATAAAAGTTGAATAATAATGATCTATCATACACAAACACATTGACATGAGCACATTTGAACGTATTGTGTTTTGTGTTTGGAATTTGTCTCGGAATAATAATAATTACAGTACAAATTGAAAAGTGTTCTTAAAAAGTCAATATGTATGTAAATGAGAAACATCAATAGCGTAGTTGTGATATTAAAATATTCAAATTACTTTCGTACTTCCGTACCATTATTTCAACTTTTAATGAACAAAATAATTAACGTGTTTTATGTAGGAGGTAGAAATTGTATCTATTTACCAAATATTAATTATGAATAACATAAAGGTACACATACACTCACATTCATTGTTTTTCACATTGTATAGTGGTCATATTATTCACATCTTACAGACTCACACTTTCTGACTTGCTAAAATCAATATCTGAATAGGATTGGATAAGTGTTTTGTGATTTCATTCTTTTGATGATTTTGATTATTTCACTGAAGAAATTCAGACAAGACTCTTAGATAAAATGTTAGAATTACTTAGATTTCAAATGATATAGATAGAGTAGTATACGTTGAGTAGTAGTAATTATAACCAGGATTCTTATTGACTAATCTAACGGGAATCGCTGTTGATTTCGATATCATAACAAGTATAGTTTCTTCTTGGTTTAATTTACTAGCACTGAGTTATTGAAAATTATCCAATAAGACTTCTCCTATTTGATCTTGTCTCCACGATGAATCAGTCAAGACTCTGCTTCTAATATAATTAGGGTTTACGATATATCGGTCATCTTTATGTGAAAACAATTTGTTTTTTGAAAATGTATGGTTTTGAGAATGAAATGTTTTTTTTTTAGAAAAGAGGACTCTTGGCTGAATCAATAGTTTTGTGTATTAGTCACAATGTATGTATTTCGTTTATTTGAAAATTTTAATGGATTAGTCTTCATAGGATAGTTCAATGCTATGATACTCATGATTACTTACTTACTTACGCCTGTTACTCCTCATGAAGGAGCATAGGCCGCTCACCAGCATTCTCCATCCAACCCTGTCCTGGGCAATCCTTTCTAGCTCCGTCCAGTTGTAATTCATCGTTTTCATATCTGCTTCTATTATCCGACGCAATGTGTTCTTTGGCATGGGGTTAGCGTCCCCATCCCGTAGAAAACTAACTCGCTAAAAAAACGCTTACCAGAAAAGATACTCATGATTAAGAAAATAAATAAACCGAGATAAAATTGTATGAAACATTTCAGCTAATCCTTATGAGAAACAAAATGAATAAAATATATATTGAATGTAAATGATTTGAAAACAGATTCACAGTTAGCTGAGTAGTGATAGTATCTTCGATTACTCGATTACTGAAACTTTGAAAGTTGATTGTAACCTGATTACAGGTTCCCTGATAGTTTGATGATTAAGTCTATTGGATAAATTTTGTATATGTATTCATCATTGGATTGAAGATCCTTAATATTCCCTTTGATCTGACTATATATTTATTCGAGTAAAATGGTCAGATAACAAACGAATTATCGTCAGATAATTTTTTTGTAGGATGAAGTCGATGAAAGAGTTTAATTGAAACTATGCAACACAACTAAGATTAGATACATTTCTTTCGTCAACCTCTTACTTTATGTAAGAAATCAATTTTCCTATTGACGTTATATTCTTCTCACTTTTGTTAATCCTTCATTTTAATAGCTTTAAAATAAACAAACACCTAATGTGGTTACGTGAACCACATTGGCTGTTTTATTAAATCGTTTACATACATGAACTACATAATCATACAGCTCTTTCATTTTCAAAATGTGCATCGGTTGTTCTCAGTTTTTTGCAAATTTAAATTAAACACAGTGGTTGGTATTAGGATAACTTATTCAAGAAACATTTTGCATGAACAAATCAAGATTGACATATTTGGAATGCCATTGTATATGATATATATTCTACAGTAATAGCATTACTTTGTTTGAATATTTACTAACAGTTTAATACAAATCATTTTTACTTATTCTACATTTTGTGTAGTGGGTTTTTTGGTTGTTGCCTGATACCATGTTGCATTAACGGTTGTAAAGATGTGAATCATGTATGTCCACATTGTCGACGTGCCGTAGGAACCTACCACAGATTGGGAAACTGAACGTTCAATACGATAAGAGAAACAAAGTCAACCAATGATAATGAATTTTTATTTGACAAACTAAAATAAAGTTTTAATATAATTACAATGTTGAAGTTAACTTTTATTTTAATCTTGATTTATTTTACGTGGTTATTTATTTCTCTTCATTCCTCTGAATTTCTGTTAATTAAATTGTAAGGGCATTTTGTTTAATCAGATGTTTATGGATTAAAATAAAATTGTTAATGTTGAAATGGCCTTTAAGCCAATGTTAACTTGAATAAGTTCATACGTTAAAATGAAAAACAAATATCGGTAATATATAGTAAGAGAAATAACAATGTAGTTCAAATCGTATAAAATGTTTAGTGTAAGACTATACAATGTATGAAGTTATATGGATTTAGTAAAAAAAAGTCATAGTATGGGTCGAGTGCCAACTAAATAACTTCTGTTCAGAAAACTAATAGTAATGTTGAAACAATAATAATGGTAGTGGCAATACTAAGAATAATAAAAATAGTAATGATCATAATATAAAGATATGTGAATAAAAATAACAAAGACAATAATTATCAGTTTTTAGGGGTTGTGGAGATTGTTAAGTTTTTGAGTGAGGTCATCACTGAAAACCTGGAAGCAATGGACGGCCGTTTCGTTCTATTGTGCGACTCCTGAGCAGTGCGCATCCACGATCCCGCTCGCAGGATTCGAACCCAAGCCTTCAGTCTCGCGTGCGAACGCTTAACCTACTGGACCACTGAGCCGCAATCCAATGATGTTAATGTCTAACCTCAACCAATCCATGAAATTGCGCGACCATCTTCCATTGTATTGAAGAAGATACCTGTCTCCCATAATAAGACGAAACGGCCGTCCAGTGCTTCCAGGTTTTCAGTGGTGGTCTAACATCAATCGGTTCATTATCTCAATCAAAAGACAACAATATATGACCAAGAAAAGTTGTGTGCATATAGATCGAATTAAGTGATTCTGTAGTTAAGACTACCATTGATTTATTGTTCTTAAGATTGTCCAAGGTAAGAGAAATGGTTGAGCATATATCTTTAGCTCATATATACCCGGTGTCTTAATCTGAATGACTATTGTATTAGCCATTCGGAGAACTTTGAATCGGACTGATTTTGACTGAAAATTACTAACCTGATAAATTATTGAAAATCATGAACCTGTGCTGGCTCTATGACCAATAAACACTAAATAAGTTAGTATTGAGGTGCTTACTGTCTTGGCTACACCCTTGGTCAACTACCCTGGTAGATGTTCACGAGTACGAATATGTAATTCTCAGAAATTCAGTCAATATAATTTGCTCCACGAAAGTAATCGGATTCGTAATTAACTCCAGATAATTCATGTTTTGGCCTCTAAGTTACTATTGGGTGGGTAGGAGGTGGTAGTCAAAGTTTTCCGGTGTTTAGTGTTTTTTGGGTTTTCCTACGTAATTTTTGAGTCAGTATTTCACCGGATGATTCAACTATGAATTCTGCGTACATGAATAGGGGTTTGTTATCACCAACTTTTACTTCTCCTACTTTAACTTTCATGGTCATATATCTGTTTATAAACTTCCCAAGGTATTCATTCTACCTAATGGTAACACATAAGGAGCTCATTTTCTCTTCAGAAATATACGTAGGATATACAGTGCGTATTCCATAATTGAAAGCTTTCATCAGGGTTTTCTTGTGCTGCAGAAATACGAAGATAAGGAAATTTGTGTACTACTAAGTTCAAGTAATTTTGCTGTTCGAACTTCCGTCTCATTGACTTGTAGGGCCAGTGAAATATTACTCAGTCCTAGCCAAATCCTCCGGCAGTTGGGTCACTGGGTGTTGAACAGTTCAAGGTCAAGGGTAACCGACGCTCATCAGCCAATCGCACGCCACAGACTAGCCCATGCGGTGGTGCTTACACTCTCTTGATTGTACCTACTCTTACCAGTATATTTCTGTAGAAATAGTGTGGTGTTTGAACGAACTAATGATACCTTTGTACTTGTTGAATACTTGACTTCGAATTCGAAACACAATACATTCGTTCGTGCTTGTCTAGTACTTCTTTATTCAGTTGCGTTAATTCTGGGATTCCTAGTTCACACCATAATTCAAATACTTTCAAATATTATACTGGCGTCGCGATGGAGCCTGCGATGGAAAGTTAGATATTCATTCAACTTCGGAAGCTTTTGATGATTATTTGGAGAGGTTCGAAATCTGGAGCACGACTAAGAAAGATGTGAAAGGTGATCAAAATGTGGCACATTTCCTGACATTCTTTGGGAGAGAAGCGTACGGCTTATTAAAAACTTTAGCATATCCAGAAAAACCCATCTCACTTTCTTATGCAACTCTTAAGGAGTTATTATTAAATGATGTAAAGTGCGCCAGTTTTGAACGCCGTGAAAGGGCGAAATTTCATAAGATGGTTCGTCAAAATGACCAAAAAGTTCTGGAATTCATCCTTGAATTGCAAAAACAAGCTGCCAAGTGTAATTTCGGTGATAAACTTCATGTGCAACTGAGAGATCGATCAACTGCAGGAATTGACATACGGAGTTTGGAAAGAGAACTGTTAAGAATGCCAAACTGTTCCTTTCAAGATGCTAGAACTGCGTGTATTAACTACGAAGCAGTGAATGAACTTGATATCCAGTCGATGAAGATTTCTAGTACTTTGCTTAGTCGTCATGATGAAATACAATCTCAGGTTCAATCAAACTTGCGTTCGTTTAACAGTGATTCCTATTCTCGTATAAATATGAAAGGAATTACAAAGCAAATCACAAAGGTGAGATGAAGTTTGGTAAATGTTTGTCATGTGGAAAGTTTCATGCTCGTAATTCATGTGCATTTCGTAATGCTAAATGTTTTAAATGTGGTAAGATAGGACACATTCAGTCAGTATGCAAAGCTACTGTCCATTTTGCTTCAAGTAGTACTAAATCTCGTAATTTAAATCTCAATAATTCGGATGTTTCTAGTGATCATTTATCGTTGTCTACTATTTCGAAAGGTAATGCTCATATTCAAAAGCGACTACATACATCGCTTGTTTCATTTCATGACTTTATTGTGGACACAGGCAGTATAGAGTCCATTATTTCATTCAAGAACTTGAAATCTTCAGATCCTAACGTTGTGGTACGACCCACTGAAGTATCAATATTGGGGATTACTGGACACAGACTGCCCATACGTGGATGTTGTGAATTGCTAATAAGAGATGATAATTCTTCATACATACCTTGTGAATTTTTAGTTAGCGAAACAGGACTGTCAATACGGAGTTTAAAGAATTTGAAAAGGCTTGAGGTGGAGTTGTCTTTCCTAGTTCCTAAAGAAAATTCTGATACTTTACTTAGAGAGTTGATAGCTATGTGTGCTAAGCGCAGTGGAGGTACGAAAATTCAGCATATAAAACTTCAAGTACAGGGTGATCCAGTCTTTCTTAAAAGATAAATAATTCCTTATGGTCCTCGAGAAGCAGTACATAAGACATTAAACGATTTGTGTGCGAAAGGCATAATTGAACCAATTCAGTCTTCAGCATGGGGTACTCTTATCGTTACGCCACTGAAGTCGAATGGCACGACCCCTAAAATTTGTGGTCACTATAGATTAACTCTGAACTCCCGTTTGTTGAAGCAAACGTGCACGACGGTAGAAGCTGAAGATATTTTAAATCGACTTCATGATTCTAAAGTGTTCTCGAAAGTTGACCTAAAAGATGCTTATCTTCAAATTTTTTAGATAATTCTTAATCTATTTTGACGATAATTAACACTCCTTTTGGTCTGTTCAAATACAATTTCCTTCCATTTGGTCTAAGTTGTTCTCCAGCCATATTTCAGGAAGTTATGAATAAAGTAGTTAGTGATCTTGAAAGAGTTGAAGTTCATCAAGATGATCTCATTGTTCATGGTTCTGATATGGTAGTTCATGACCAGAGGCTTATTGCTTTATTGAGTCGTTTTTCACTCCAGATATCTAAGTTATTGAGGCCCTTTTGGATCTGGGACACACTTTCGCTTAGTGTCTCAGGCTTACAGCTGTATACTATTTTGAGATCAACATATAAGTATGATTTCCCAAATTCTATGGTGTTACATATATCGTTTATATACATAAGAAACAAAAGTGGACCTAATACGCTTCCCTGGATGACTCCACTGGTGATTGATCTAGGCGACGAGAAACAGTCGTGGTACTTTACCATTTGTTTACGTTCTGTTAAGAACGAAGCAAACCATGAGTACAGTGAGTTGTTTATTCCGAAGGACTTTAGTTTGACGATTAGCCTTTTGTGTGAGACCTTATCAAAGGCTTTCTTAAAGTCTAAGAATAGGACTGATACAAGGAGTCTGCTGTCTCGTTTCAAAGCTAGGTCATTCAGGCAGTCTACTAGGCATGTATCGCATGATCTGGACCTAAGAAATCCATGCTGGGAGGTCAAGATGAGATTATTAGTTATTAGATGTTGGACCGCAGCCGCCTTAACTACTTTTTCCATCACTCTGAATACCACTGAAGTTATGTTTATGGGCCGGTAATTTTCAACATTTGCTTCAGGTCCTGTTTTAATTTTGGGAATGATATGCGTAGTTTTCCAGGCAGTAGGGTAACACGCTGTAGAGAGTGATATCGCGTATAGTTCGAGAAGCAAAACACATATCATCACCTCCACGTTTTAGCATGCTAGCTGGAACACCATCTGGTCCATCAGTGTAGGAGTGTTTCAATGTACTGATTGCCTTGGAGATATTTCGTACATTGAATTCTACATTAGTAATTTCACAGGGAGGTACTGCGATTGGCTCTGAATCATTAAGCGTGTTTTTCGTTAGTTAGTGAGAAACAAAAGTGTTCACTAAATAATTCCGTAACAAGTTTAGGATCTTCGTATACTTGTTTGCCTTTAATGAATATACTCCCTCTTGATTTAGAACATTTAAGTTTATTTTGGTGGAGTATGGTCAGTGCAGAGGGGTTATTATTAAGTTCAACTACACGTTTTTCCTGTGCGACTGCT